GATGCCTTCATCATAACACCCATATTGAGAGTTCCCTTGACATATCTCAGAAGCCGCTTTAACGCATGAAGATGACCGGTCCGGGGGGCATGCATGTACATGCATATCTGCTGCACCGCATAAGAGATATCGGGTCTGGTAAACGTCAAGTATTGCAACGCACCTGCCAGACTTCGATAGGTGGTGGGATCGGCAAGAAGTTCGCCAGACGTGGCGTCTAGCTTACCGGCAGTGTCGACCGGGGTGAGGACCGGATTACAGTCATTCATCTTGGCACGAGCTAGTATGTCCTGAGCATATCTGGCCTGAGATAGAAACAGACCGTCTAATGACCGCTGTACCGATATACCCAGAAAATAAGAAAGAGGACCCAAATCTTTCATGGCAAATTGTTTAGACAGGTGAGACATGAAGTGTGCCTTAAGTGCCGGAGACGAAGTGACTAGAATAATGTCATCCACATAGAGAAGAATATAAGCCACATCACGTCCCTGATGGTGGATGAACAAAGAGTGATCACTCGAGCTGAGTCGAAATCCCAACTGAGTGACATAGTCGGTAAACCGCTGGTACTAGGCGCGCGGTGCTTGTTTAAGACCATACAGTGATTTCTTCAGACGACAAATATGATTAGGAAAGTTAGGATCCCGAAACCCCGGCGGCTGATGCATGAAAACAATCTCACATAGATGACCGTGCAAAAATGCATTCTTAACATCAAGTTGAGAGATATCACAGTGATGATGTAAGGCAATAGTAAGAACTGTCCGGATGGTTGCTGGCTTAACCACTGGACTAAAGGTGTCCGAACAATCTACCCCTACCTGTTGAGTTCGGCCATCCCCAACCAACCGTGCTTTATAGCGTTCCAAAGTTCCATCGGATTTCAACTTGTGTTTATAAATCCACATGCACCGAATTATGTTCATGTCAGAGTGCCGAGGTACAAGTTCCCATGTCTTATTATCAATAAGAGCAGAAAACTCTTCCGTCATTGCTTGGTTCCAAACAGGACTGGATAAGGCATCGGTTAGAGTTTTGGGGAGCGGTTCAATGTTAGAAGAAGTGTGTAAGGAGAACGGGGTTTTGGGTTTGGAATTACCGGTCATGCTACAGGTACGCATCGTT